TTGTAAATCATTTGAGCAGGTTATTTTATTTAATCTGCACAATAATTTGAATTTATATGATACATGTACTATTTCTATGATGCATATACTAATACCTCATTATACAAATGAAGACACTGAACTTCAGAGATGCTAAGTAACTTGTTCAAGGTCTCATAGCCAGTATGTGGGGAAACAGGAAGTAGTAGATGCTCCATAAACATTGAATCAGTTGTGTTAAATCCTTCTCCTGGGTTACAATGATGACAGTAAGGTACTGAACAGAGCAAAGTCTGATTGTAACTTGAGACCAAGGCATGTCCTGGATAGATATTTTTCTCCCAAGTAATTTTTATTGCATGTTTTTTTTTATTTTTTCCACAGTGATACATTTTCATAGGAGAAAATACTGAAGAGACAGATAAGCATAGGAGAAGAAATTGAAGTCCCCATAATGCCACTGCTGACTAGATTGTTAATATTTGGCATATTACTCCCAGGCTGTTTTCAATGTAATTTGTTTTTTAACCTGCTTCAGCTCAGACTGCATATGCAATTTACTCTACTGCTTTTTTCACTCAGTATCCTATCATGAGCATTTCCCATGTTATGATGAACTCATTACAAACATCTTTTTAATGACTGATGCAGCCTTTTACAGGTGAATCATCCGGTGTTTAAAAAGTGAGAACTTATGAGTACACATTAATTTCACCTGTGAGGGATAAGGTGGCCCAAAGTAGGAAAAAAGAGCCATGATTTTAGGGGCCCCCGTCCTACCACCTACCTGCTACGCAGTCTTAGGGGGCGTCATTTCAAGTCGCCAACCCCCATTTTTCACTGAGAATACTGATAGTTTAATAGCTGCTTTCTGTGATTAGCATGCGGCCAGAGCAAGGTGACATAAGCTAAAGCGTTTTTGTTTTCCTTTTTTTTTTAATGCACACAGTAAAACAAATGTTTGCTCTGGATAACAAGTTTTCATCTTTTTTGGAAAACTGATTCTTTCAGAATGCAGAAGTGGGCTCAAATTTAATCAAACTGGCGTCTACAACAGCAAGAGCCCTGAAGGAAAAGGATGACCAAGTCTACTGCCAGCCAGAGTTGCTTGTTGAAGGTAAAATGCACCCTCTCTCCTTGTGTTTAGGAAAGGGCAACATTTCGTGAAGACATTCCGAGCCTCTTCATGGAAGACCTCCTTCCAATGCAGAGGAGCTATGCGTGGATGAGGGACAAAAAGGAAGGCTCTCCGGATGCCCCAGTGAAAAGCGTTTGGGACAGTTGTCTCATACATCCTCAAACCTCCCCCAGGAAGGCACTGGGGTGGTCCTTGGGCCCAACGACTTTCACGGCTGTCCTGAGCAAATGCTGCGATGTACTGAACGCTGACTTCAGTTCGGCTTTCTACCTCTACCCATTCACAGTACCCTGCAGAANCTGAGCACCTTCAGTGTTTGGGCCCTGGGTGAGGTACTTGGACTACTCCATTATTTCATTCTGTTCTCTTCCTTCACTCTGTGAACATTATGGCTCCTAACACTTAACAGAGGAGGTAGCTCGGCTAAGGGGCTGTCTTCTTGGCATAGCCCTGTAACTCTGGCCATAATTAAAGATCATTCCGCTAAGCCTCAGTTTCCCATCTATAAAATGGGAATCATATCGCCTACCTAGATGGTCACAATATAGGGCAAAGCCTCTCATCACGATAGGTACTTAGCCTCAATGCCCAGGTGTTTCAGAACGGGCAATGCCAAGAGAAATGCATGGAAACCCTGTGCAATACGTGTCTATATTAGAAAAACTCCAGTTTTCCCTTTTATGATTCTTTCCCGCGTGTCTTCTTCACTTTCACACCACTACCATACTCACAATGCTTCTGACACTAGATGTGTGTGTATGTGTGGGCGGGGGGAGTCCCTACACGAAGCAATTCTCTGGGGTACCAGCTGGTGTGCTGTAATTTAACTCAGTTCTAAGGCTATCTGCTTGATAGTGTCAGACCCCTCAGGTTAAGGGCTCAGCCCCACAAGACTGCTCCCATCCCACTTAAGATGCCAATCACAGGTAGTAGGTCCCCAGGTTACCCACAACTTCTGCTCAACGTGGCTACAAATTAGGAGTTCCCACAACCCCTTCCTCAGGTTTGATTAATTTGCTAGAGTGACTCACAGAACTCAGGGAAACACATTTACTAGTTTATTGAAGGATATCATAAAGGATACAGATGAACAGGCAGATGAAGAGCTACCTAGGGGGAGGTCTGGGAGGGTCCCGAACAGCTCTGTCCCATGAAGATGGGGTGCATCACCCTCCCAGTTTGTATGTGTTCACCGACCTGCAAGCTCTCCAAATCCCATACTATTGTGATTTTATGGAGGTTTTCTCACATAGGCATGATCAATTATTAATTCCATTTCTAGTCCCTCGCCCCTCTCTGGAGGATAGGGGCTGGGGCTGAAAATGGCAAGCTTCTAATCATGGCTTGGTCTTTCTGCTGACCGGCCCCCACCTAGGAGCGCATCCAGAGTCTCCTCATTAGAACAAAAGATGCTTCTAGTTCTCTTACCACTTCCGAATTTACAAGGATTTTAGGAGCCCTGTGTCAGGGACGGGGTCAAAGACCAATTATTAGAACAAGAGATACCCCTGGTTCTCTTATCACTTAGGAAAGAAGTTATAAGGGTGTTTGAGGGCTCTGTGCCAGGAACTGTGGGCAGAGGCCAACATATACTTTTTCTATTAATGCAAAATGTCAAATGATGGTCCTCAGCAAAATGTTAAAGCATAAGCCTGGGCAGTTAGCCCATCACCTGGGTGCTTGAAGGAAATGCAGAACCTCTGGCCCCAGGCCGCACACTGAGTCAGACTCCACATTTTATCACGATCCCCAGATGATCGGCATGCACGTTCAAGTTTAAGAAACACTGCTCCAGAGCAGGGGTTGACAAGCTCTGTCAAGGGTCCAAGGGTAAATATTTGAGGCTTTGCAGATACGCAGTCTCTGTCGCAACTACTTAACCATGCTGGTGTAGCTTGAACACAGAAGCAGCCATGGACCCTGCATAAATAAAGGAGGGAGAGTGGCTGTGTTCCAAACAAACCTTTATGCAAAAGCATGTGGAGGCTGGGTTAGCCCCTCGGCTGTGGTTGCGGACTCCTGTTTTAGAGGCCTGACTTTGTGGTTAGGTGTTTTCAGATTGTGGAACCCTCACAAAGCGGGTAGGGGGTAGGGGTGGGGGCCTGAGCAGGAAGGAAGGACTCTGAGCCTCTGCCCCCGTGTCCGCCAGGCAGCAGTCCCTTCATCTGGTTTACTTGTCGGCTCATATTCAAAGGTTCTTCTTAGTGACCAGGTCAGTTTGAGAGGCTCAGCTGCAGGTGATGGCGGCATGGTCTGGGGCAGCCAGGCCCCGCACTGTGCCTGAGGCTTGCTTTTTCTCTAGAGGACGGGATGAAGAGGAAGAGTCCCTTGAAGCACACGGAGGTGCTCTGCTCCATTGCCTCCCGCTCACTCCTCTCCCCGAGCTATTACCACAGCTTCGGGATCACCGAGCACTATGTCGTTTTTCTGGAGCAACCTTTCAAGTTGGATATTCTCAAGATGGCGACTGCGTACATCCGGGGAGTGAGCTGGGCTTCCTGCCTGACTTTCCACAAGGAGGACAAGGTAAGGCCTGGCTGGGGCCTCCAGTCCTGCCGGGCCTGCGGACCGTCAACACTAGGCCAGCCAGAGGGAGCTATCCCCAGAAGCAGAGACAGAGGAGGTTTCTTAGGGAAGGGGAAAGGGAGCTGCCATGTCGTCTCCCCAGAGGCATCAGCCCACCTTCCAGAGAGTTCTGAAGCTAGGATGGTCCTTCAGTGTGTTCCTGAGTTAGGGCAAAGGGAGCCCGACCTTTACATCCGACATCAGTTAGCCTGTAGAGCAGATTGTCCCCGAAGGCGGTATGACCTTGGACGAAGTGGCCTCATCAGCCACAGAAGTCCTGACTCGCCCAGCAGCAAAGGGGCTGCTCCTCAGTCCTAACCAATATCTGGGCTCCTCCAGCCTCTACCGTCCACTGACAAGGCCCTTTCAGCATCCCTGTCGCCCTGTGTAATGTCAGGGAAGGGATGCCGAAGATTATTCAGACATCATATGACAGAGTGTTCCACCAGATAGCATAGTCTTCAATGTAGGTACACCTGGGTGCTCAAAGCGTGTATGTGTGTGTCCCCAGCTATAACCNAGCAATTCCTAGTGTTCCTTGGCTGACAGATGGATGTATCACTCCAATCTCTTCTAAGGATATAAATCATTTCATTAAGGCCCTCCCTCATTCAGCATGACCTCATTTTAACTTGATTACATCTACAAAGACCCCGTTTCCAAATACGTGTACCAAGAGTTAGAACTTCAGCATATGCTTTTGGATGACACCATTAAACCCATAACAGAGTTCACAGTCTTTGGCACTGAGTGGGGGCTCAATGGGGGTCTGAGTGAATGAATGAATGTGCTGAAACACCCAGGACTCCAGTAGCCCTACTTTGTATTGATCTGAAGAGGGAGGCATTAGGCAGAGAGGAAAGGTACAAAAATAAATGCCCAAGCAGATACCTTCCTGGGCAGAATGAAGTCAACATGTTTTGTGAAAATCAATAGACCCACTTTCAATTTTCTCCAGCTGGCTGTTCAAAGCCTCAGTGTCTTCGTAATACATTGTAACGATCTGTTAAAAGGGGTGCTTTTCTTAGCTGTGAAATCATGTCCAGCTCTTTTTAAGCTAGGTGGCATTGGTGCATTCCACAGGGCTGCAGAGAGGAAATACTGGGAGAGGAGGGAGCAGCATTGCCTGACTTTTGGCTGGAGGTTGTGCTATTCTGAGGGACGAATGGTGGACAGCTGGTTCACCGGCCACCCCCTTATTTTACGGTTATGCCCTGTTCAGAGTGGGGTCATTATTGAGCTTGCTAGTTGAATTTTGCTTTGACCAAATGTTTTTGTAACCTCTGTGTTCCCAGAATAGTCCTAGGAGAGAGGCCTGGAGATTTCTGCCTCTGTGGAATGCAAAAGGGGAGGATTTCAATGACTTAAGCAGAATGACACAGAGCAATGGCCAAGATTAGCACCAAAGGCTGCCCCTCTGCCTCAGAGGTCATTGCTCGAAGCTCTCTGTCAGCATGCTGAGGACCCCTGGCAGGGCCAAGCAGCAGAATCCAAAAACTACCACAGGAAACACACACAGCTCACTAACCCCCTGCAACTGATTTGTGGTAGGAGGCCACCCCATGGGGTTATATCAGGTTGCAAGAGTAAACATCCTCTTTAAAGGTGAAGTCTGCCTTATTTTCAGATCAGGAGATGTGCAGAAATAACCATCATCTCTTAGCCTAGAATCAGTCAACTTTTCACAGGACGTTATTCTCTCCCCTTTGTAAAACCAGGTGCCTGTCATGTTTTGCAGGTTGATTATCGCAAATATGTGACTGTAAACCTGGCAACGGCGCATCCTCATTATGATGCGGCTGGAAATGTCCTCAACATGGGCACAGCCATTGTGGACAAGGGCAAGACCAGATACGTGATCTTTAAGATCCCCGCCGCAGCCCCAGGTGGGTCACTCTGGGGGCACTGCGAAGCCAGGGGGGCTCCTTCCGCTGATGACACAAGACTCCATCTGACGCTTTCCTTCCTAGATGATTCAGAGGACATGAACTCACTTTTCTTCTTTAGGAAGAAAAGAGATGTTGCTGTGCTTCCTTTTGAAAGAAGTGCATCCCTTTGCTATTTTCACCTCCTTTTCCTTAGGTTCCAGTTCATTAATTCATTAATTTCTCCATCATTCATCTATCATCCACCCATCCTCTCATCCATCCGTCCATTCATCACTCACCCATCTACCCTTCCACCCTTCCACCCTCCCTTTCTTTCCTTCCTTCCTTCCTTCCTTCCTTCCTTCCTTCCTGCCTTCCTTCCTTCCTTCTTCCCTTCCATCCTTCCTCCCTCCTTCCCTTCCTCGCTTTCCAGCCATTTTTTCAGTCTTCTGATAAACCTTTGTATGTCAGGGCTGTGCCACCCACTTTCATTCCAGCCCCCGAAGCCAGGTTCCCAGGTTTGTTCAGGGAGCTCAGCCCTGCTGGGATCTACTCCAGATCCCCACCCTGTTCTCCGGGCCTTCTGGACCATCTCCACTTAGCGCCGGGATCCTGGAGGGAAGCCCAGGCCCATTGTGATTGCGTGTGTCTGAGAGGGAGGAAGGCGGGGCTCCTAGTCCCTATTCTCCAGGACCCTCCTGGGAACCGCACCAAGGAGATCAGGCNGCTCCCTGTTCTGGGGTTGGTTGTTTATAGGAAATGAGCACCTCCCCTGTCCTGTTGACACCCAGCTGGGCTGGGTGTTTACATTTCAAATGAACAGAATTCAGCATTTTAAGTAAAGCATCACAGGGCTCAAAGCACTTTAGCCAGTGCCTAAGGATGGTGACCCTAAGACAGAGTGACCAGAAAAGGACAGACCATCTCAAGGGGAGACCAAGGTGGCCCTAAAGCAGGTTCTGTATAGCATGTGGCTGAAGACCAGTGTGTGTGGCCTCACCAAGCCCCAGGATTTTGCTGGACGATCCAGAATTTCAGCAGCCATCACTTATCAATGTGTGGCAATGGCCCAGAGTCCTTATATCATCCCATCTCATTTAAAACTGCCAACCCTAGTTGGGGAGGACTGTGTGATCCCCAACTTCCAGTTGAGGAAACAGATTAAATGAGATGAAGGGACACGCAAGGTCACAGGACTTAGATTGAGACTAACCCAGAGCCAAAGGCCTGCCCACTCTACCCACTGCATCTCAATAGCGTATGTAGCTTTTATTGAGCACCTACTATGTGCTAAGTGCTTTACAGGCCTTAAATGTCACAGCAACTCTGTAACAAAGGTATCGTGACCCTCACATTACAGCAGAGGGGACTGAGGCTTCCTCTGACACAGGTCAAGTGCATGACTAGTAGATGATGGAGTAAGGATTTATATCCACGTGGAGACTTGAACCTCCTCAGGGGTGGAGCGCTTGCCTGTCCTGCTCACCATTCTATCCACACTTTACATCACTGTCCTCCAGTAAACCCCCTGGAGTGGCTGAAATTGACATAAAAGCCCTGTAAAGGTGTCGGCCTGGTATGACGCTGCTTCTTCTCTTTCAGGTGAAGTCCATTACAGGAGCAGATACCTGAGAAGTGACACCTATAATGCCAACATTGAGGCAAACAGGATTGTGGTGTCTGAATTTGGAACAATGGCCTATCCAGACCCCTGCAAAAACATCTTTTCCAAGTAACTGTCCATTTTGACTCTGGTCATGCTTTTCTATCAAAACAAGCAGCGTTGGCTCCTCTGCCAGTTGTCTTCGGGTAGATGAAAACTTCACGTGACTGGCCATGGTCCATACATGCTGTGTGGTTCTTGGTCACTGATAGTAAGAGAGGCACAGAATGTCTGAGACAGATCATTTGGTGTTCGCCCACATGGCTGCCGGTCAGACAGTAGTTTGGAACTATTGATCAAAATTACAAATACACATTCCCTTCAGTCTAGAGATTGTTCGCATCTGAAATGACAAACGTACCTGGTTACTCATGGCTGTATATTATTTGTTATAATGAGGAACTGAAAATATCCCAAATGTTAATCAACAGAGGAGTGGTTAAATAAATAATAGGAAAGCTACCAAGAAAATGCCAGGCGGAAGTAAAAAGGAAAGAGAATACTTTCTATGTACTAAATGGAAAGATTTCCAAGATATATTAAGTGTGTGTGTGTGTGTGGGGGGGGGGAACAAGGTATATAGGAGCAAATGATATGCTATATTTTGTGTAAAAAGGCAGAAGGAAATCTAGATTTATTTTTGCTTGTAACATGCATTTAAAAATTCCGGAAGGTTCAATAAGGGAGTGGGAAACTGACAAATAGGGGAAAAGGATAGGGGAAGATTTTTAGTTGTATACATTTTAAATCACCTGGGTTATGATGCATATGAATATATTACATATTCAGCAATTCAATTGCTGGCTATGGAATCAGGCCTACTGTCAGTCTCCTTCCTGATATTCTTAAGATATAGAAAAGTTATGAAATATGTTACAGCTAGACTGGCCCAGAGATGAAAGATTGCTTCTGCTTTTCCAGAACAGCACTGAACTCACATTTGCAGNCACACACACACACACACACACACACACACACACACACACACACACACAGGCGCCAACTACCTGAGAAATGGCAGTTGCTTAAGTGACTCCTCACAGCTTACCAAGCAGTGGTTCTGGCATCCTTCCATAGAGGCCTCCAGAGACAAGTGAACAAACAGGGATGACCGAGCCGTGGCTGTCTTGCCGAAGCATGGCCACCATCCACCAAAATCCATGAATGGAATAAAGAGGCAAATGACCAAAGTTATCTCACATTGTTTAGACTTTCTAAAAGCTTCTAGTGGGTTTTCAAACTAAAAATGTATTGTCAAAGGTAGGTAGCTATTTTGTATTCTTTTATGAGATGGTCAGATGGGTGTGACCACATGAGGAGACACAGAAAGGCTCAGGAAAACAGTGCTTATTATACCACAGGTCCTAGGGGCAGGAGGCATAGCACAGCACGCAAGGCCACATGGGAAAACACCAGGGCGGTCAGGAGGCAGAAGACGGGGAGTAGGGGAAGCACTCAGGCTGTGGCCTTTATTGGGGTTTCAAGGGAATGACAAGACAGGGCAGGGTAAACAACTTAGGATTGGCTTGTGTGAATAAGTTCCATGAGCTCTGAGCTTTAGTGGTGGTCTCTAGTTGCTGGCACCTAGCCCTGGGATGGTTAAGGCAGAGGAATATTGCCTCCTAGGGTGAATGGACCAGATAGAGGCGGTCTAGCTCAGGATTGGTTAGTTTGCATATCAATGGCATGCTGAGCCCTTTGCTACTTCTAAGAATTGGCTAGCCCAGGGAGGGACAATCTCTCCCCAGTCAGAAATGTTTTTTAAGATGTCAAAACAGCATAATACACAGATATTTAAACCACATACACACACACACACACACACACACACACACACACACACATACACACACTACAGTAGCATGAAAGACTCAGTTCTATTCATAATGTGGGACTGGCTAGAAAGTATGGAGAGTACACCCAATTACTCACCTTTCCCCATCCTGCTCTTGAACCTGGGCATGCCCTACTCTGCTTTGCAATGATCAATTTGCCATTCTCCAGCATAAGGTGGGAGGCCCCACAGTGCAGGCT